AGTCATGGTCCCTGCAGGATGGATTTGGTGTGTTTTAATATCTCTTACTTTTGACCAGATCAACACTTATCCATACGTCATCTAGTTCAGGCATTGACACAGCATTTTCAAAAGGAATCATTGTCCCCACATGATGAATCAGTGCTACTTTGTTACTCCCACGATGTTTACATTTGTGATTTGTGGGGGTTTCATATCTTGACTAATATTCGGCGGATTGCCATGATCACGTTCCGCTGCTTCCAGTTGAATTGTTATGACTTATCAGCCCTAAAAGCTTTCCTCTAGCAGCTACATCAGTTCATACTACTAATCCTTGGATACCTGAAAAAAACAATCACATTAGTCTAAACAGTAGTGCAACGCTAAGTTGATGAAAGTGGTAAATATTACACATTAGCATGTTCGAGTTGTTGTTGTCAGTGTGTAATCATGCTGGCATTAGCCCTCGGCTCAACTTACAATCTCGAGGGGGTGCTGCCATAGCTAGACTCTCAGTCACGATGAGTAGCTTTAACTAATTTGTAGCTTATAATCACTTTGTCAGATGAACAACAAAACAGAAAAGCGTTGCTTTGAAAAGTTTAACTTTCATTCGGTTTCTTCCCCATCTCAGTGATGCAGCTGCACAGATCATTAAATCCATACAACAGCCTTTATATCTGCATCACAATCTTAAGACACTGAACTCCATTGTTACAACTGAACCTGCATTTCCGCTTTAATTTTCAATGCTATTATCGTTTGTATTTGTACTGTCGGGTCCAACAGAAAGGGCCAATTCGACATTCATATTTAATTTAACAACAAATATTTTACTTTTATTGATATAGTAGATTAACCAGGCGTAGACTACAGATAACACACTATCCTTTCCTAGACGTTACTATTGGTTTTTATTATTGTTGCTAAGTTATATTGTTGCCAACTTCACCACACTAACTCAGGTGTATATAAAGGCATTGAACTAGATCATGGACAATACAAAATGACTCAGAAAAATGTGTTTACTTCCTCTCTTCTGCCTTTAATGTCCAATCTGACATGGGACTATCCTCCTGTCCTTCCCTGGCATCGATGTCTTACTCCTCTCTTTACTTCTTTACTCATCACGCCTTTTATCTTTTTATTCCCCTAATCCATCCCCACATTCCCATCCTTAATTTTCTTATTGTTTGTCAACCCTCGCTCCTCATACCCTCCATCTCCATCTTTCAGTTCATTATTTTGATTGGGCCGATCAATATCAGGAGGTGCGGGTGCACAACAAAACTGTGGTTTGCATTAGAAAAGCTCACTGCCTCAGCACAAATGCGACGACCTCAAAATTAACACAATTCAAGAAGCAGTGTGGAATCTACAGTGCATCCAGAAAGTATTCACAGCGCTTCACTTTTTCCACATTTTGTTATTTTACAGCCTTATTCCAAAATGGATTAAATTCATTATTTTCCTCAACATTCTACACACAACAACCCATAATGACAAAGTGAAAACTGTTTTTTGTAAATTTTTGCAAATCTGTTAAAAATAAAGAAGGAAAACATAACATGTACATAAGTATTCACAGCCTTTGCCATGACACTCAAATTGAGCTCAGGTGCATCTTGTTTCCACTGATCATCCTTGATATGTTTCTACAACTTGATTGGAGCCCACCTGTGCTGAAATTCAGTTGATTGGACATGATTGAGAAAGGCACACACTTATCTATATAAGGTATCACAGTTGACAGTGCGAATTATCTGTAGACCGCCGAGACAGAATTGTATCGTGGCACAGATCTGGTGAAGGGTACAGGAAGATTTCTGCAGCATTGAAAGTCCCAATGAGCACAGTGGCCTCCATCATCTGGAAATGGAAGACTTTTGGAACCACCAGGACTCTTCCTAAAGTTGGCTGCCCAGCCAAACTGAGCAATCGGGGGAGAAGGGCCTTAGTCAGGGAGGTGACCAGGAACCCGATGGTCACTCTGACAAAGCTCCAGCGTTGTTTTATGAAGAGAGGAGAACCTTCCAGAAGGACAACCATCTCTGCAGCACTCCACAAATCAGGCCTGTTTGTTAGAGTGGCCAGACGGAAGCCACTACTCAGTAAAAAGCACATGACAGCCCGCCTGGAGTTTGCAAAAAAGCACCCGAACGACTGTCAGACCATGAGAAACAAAATTCTCGGGTCGGATGAAACAAAGATTGAACTCTTACCCCTGAATGCCAAGCGTCATGTCTGGAGGAAACCAGGCACTGCTCATCACCTGGCCAATACCATCCCTACAGTAAAGCAAGGTGGTGGCAGCATCATGCTGTGGGGATGTTTTTCAGCGGGAGAAACTGGGAGACTAGTCAGGATTGAGGGAAAGATGAATGCAGCAATGTACAGAGACATCCTCGATGAAAACATGCTCCGAAGCGCTCTGGACCTCAGACTGGGGCGACGGTTCATCTTCCAACAGGACAACGACCCGAAGCACACAGCCAAGATAACAAAGGAGTGGCTTCGGCACAACTCTGTGAATGTCCTTGAGTGGCCCAGCCAGAGCCCTGACTTGAACCCGATTGAACATCTCTGGAGAGATCTAAAAAATGGATGTGCACCGACGCTCCCCATCCAACCTGATGGAACTTGAGAGGTTCTGCAAAGAAGAATGGGAGAAACTGCCCAGAAATAGGTGTGCCACGCTTGTGGAATCATACCCAAGAAGACTTGAGGCTGTAATTGCTGCCAAAGGTGCTTCAACAAAATATTGAGCAAAGGCTGTGAATACTTATGTACATGTTATTTTTTCGTTCTTTATTTTTAACAGATTTGCAAAAAACTGTTTTGTCATTATGGGTTGTTGTGTGTAGAATGTTGAGGAAAAAAATGAATTTAATCCATTTTGGAATAAGGCTGTAACATAACAAAATGTGGAAAAAGGGAAGCGCTGTGAATACGTTCCGGATGCATTGTATATTCTGTTACAGCGCACAGGCAGACAATTAAATAATTGCCAATATGCATAGTAACTGAGCTGTGATTTTTTAGAAAAATGTATTGTTACATAAAACATAAATGTTGAGATGTTGATATTACATAGAGTGGCAATGAATAACTTTAGAAAATCATACTTACTGTCAGGATCCGGGTCTCTCTCTCTCTCTCTCTCTCCCCCTCTGCCATACACATTCACTGACACACTCATTTGCCCATTAGTCTCACCTCTACACACACACCCACTTCTCACATAGCCTTCCCATCCACCTGCCGCTCATTTCAATCAGTGGCCGCGCCGTTTGCTGTTACACCTGTTTCTCGTCATGTCTAATCACCCTGTCTATATCTTGCATGTGTTCCCTTTGTGTCTTGTCGGATTATTCTTGTGAGCCAACCCTTCCCCTGTCCAGCAGCCTCAAGACCTTCTCTGTTTGCGCACAGCCAAGTCTTGCTCGTCCGGCCTCCAGCGTCGTGCCTTAGGGGCTGCATCCTGCGGGCTCCTGTCGAGCTTCGTTCTCCAAGGAGGAGATTCCCCTGTCCCGAGGATTATCTTTCGTTTTGCCTTTTGCCTAGCTGGTCTCCTAGAGAATACATTTTTGTTCTATGTTTTGCCATCGAGCTCGGCTCGCTGTTTCTGTTGAACATTAAAACCCTTATTTTGTGACCTCCCTCTGCGCGTGGATCTTTGCCGCCCGTACCGTGACCGAACGTGACACTTACTTTGAAAAAATAAAACTACACATTTTTTTTATTAAGCAGATAATTTGGTGACCTGTTTACCTCCACCAAAGCACTAACTGCATGTCCATTCACATCGACACACTGTGATTTTAGGTGCATTGGCAACGTGCTCCGTTGATAGATATACATCTACATTGATATACGGTGCTACAGATGAACTATGAAAGACAACAAAAGAAAAAGTAATTTGCCGAGTAGGACCCTTTTAAGCTCATCCGATGTGCTGCTGCAATGTCAGCTACAGTCACTTGACTATATGGAGTCTCCTGAAGATGTGACCTCTATTATTATCAGTGTCATGTCATTTGGGGCGGCATCCCCAGAATACCCTGAGAAATGGTCAGTGTAGTTATATTGGCACGTGGCTCATATTTTCCCACCCACATCCCATGGGAATATTAATCCCAACAAAATGACCTGACCACGCTGGGGAAACACGTATCTGAACGTCTTTAGCATGTCTGATTTAGATAAGGTCCAATAAACAAGAGTGGGCAGACCATACAGGGAGAAACCACCTCAACTGGGAAATTTGTTACAGTGAATCCTGCTTAATGTCTAACCTATCCATCCCATTTCTATGTGCAACCTTTGACAGACTTGATGTCTAGAATGTGTGTTTCCGTAGCCTTGGTGAGATATTCAAGTATGAGTTTAGATGTGTTGACACTATGTGACAGAGGTAGAGAAGTGAAACAAAACCCTTTCCTCCCTCCTGTGTTTACACTCTCATTATCGGATACCTTTCAAAGGGTAAGTGAAAGGTCGGAGTGGGAGAAAGAGAGGCGGGAGAGAGCTCATTCAAATGAGAGGTGAAGAGATTGTGCCACAGGAGGAAGACCGGAGGGAAAGGAGAAAAGGGAGAAATAGAAGAGACCAAGGAGGAAGAAGCACTAACTGAGGAGGAGAGCAGTTTGTTGGCTGAGCTCCAGCGAGCTGACTGAAGAACACCCTGCTGTCAACTTGTAGCATTGTGACAGACAGCAGACCTGCCATTTGGGGATGCTCACACACACACACACGCACACACACAAAATAAACATGCATACGTTGCAGAGACAGATGAAGGAATATCTACAGTCAAATCAGGTTTCAAATCATAAACACATCAGCGGTTATACATACACTGACTAGAGGCTTTTCTGTCATCTGTAGGATAGCCGACGAGTTGTGAGATTGGTAATTACCATTCTGCTCACATTGACCTGCGTGCATGTAAAAACACATTTCAGATTTATACTTCTATGGACCTAATACATTCCCGAATAATTACAGGAATCATTAAATATTGTGCAAGTTGTTTTATTCCAACGTTTGGGGGTAGGTAGACCTACCAAAGTTACATTTTCATAATGTGTTTTAGTGTTAATCGTCACGAAAGTAATGATGGCCAGCCGAAATTCCATCATTTTAATATTTCAGTCCCCACAAAGAAAAAAAGTATGACAGTGAAATCAGGAGGAAGAAACATAACCAGTACATAGAGACAAACAAGCATAACATTTGTCAACACTAATGGTTGCTTGTCCTGCACTGCCTCTGCTCCGCCGTGCAGTACGATCCCACGAGATGTGTCTCCTGTCTCTGCGACTGTGCGCGAGTGGCAACCGTCTCCTGCTCCCGTGCTTTTTTTGTTCCCGATAATGATGACGCCTGACCTCCCACGTTCCAACCAATCAGAGTTGAAGGTGCACTGTGAGGAAAATCCTGTTGGAGCCCGAATCAAGCAATTATAAAAGCCCGAAGGGAACCGTGGTGGAGAAATGGGATCCTGATCACTTCTTCAGAACATCCGAGATGGATAGAAATAGATTGCTGACCGTGACACTGTGTGTGTGTGACGGTCTCTGCACGCACTGTTATTTGTGTGTGTTGCGTCTGAAACGAGACAGGCAGGTCAAATTCCGACTGCAGAGTCATTACCTTCTATTGCGGATTGATAACCGAACCCCTTGAGCCTTGCTCAAATGGTATTCCAGCTCTCTGAAAGTACTCAGATCATCAAAACCAAAGACTTTATGTTCTCCAATATGTTCTCTGCATGTGGCCATGACTTTGATGTCCGCGTACGTGGTCAGCATATCATACATTATGTGGCATCACAGGGAACCAGGTAGTGGAGGGCTGATACAACCCTGCACAGGATTGGCGGCCACATCACAAAATGGCCTCCATTGTCCACATCACATGTCCCAGAGGGCTTCAGCACTCAGCCAGCTGTGGCTGCTTAAGACACCTAATTGAGGCGGGCTTGAGGAGCTTGAGGAAGGACACGTGGAAGAGAAGTGAGAAGAGCAGAGAGGGAACAGGCCCCTGTGCGAAAGAAGAAGGAAAACAAAAAAGATTGTGAAGCGCTAGTTTGAGTTGGCTAAAGACTTCTGATTTTTATTTTAAGGAACCGTTGGATCACTTTACAGTGGTGATGGACTTTTTTCTTGTTTGAGGAAATTACTTGAGTTGACTGTTTTTGGGGAAGAATAAAACGTTTAAACATGACTGCATTGAGTAGCGGGAGCAATATTTGAGAGTGTTATTGTGCTATCAAAATCTGCTACCCCTGATATAAATGCATTTTATAACACTTTTTATAATTACACATGAGAGAAAAAAACACTTACTTTATGCCTTCATTTGATGTACAGAGGTAGAAAACCATAAAGTAGCATTTTTTGATAGGGTAGCATGAATCGATAGACAGAGCCATCGATTTATGCGGCGGTAGCAATTCTCAACACCCCAACGTAGCTTGTCCCAGGGACCTCTCGTGATGTCATACTTCCAAATCACCCTAAAACACACAGAAAACAAAACAGATATATTGTTTGGGTTATGGACAAATGAAATGTCATCAGTTTTAGAGCTGCTTTAGAGTTGCAACATATGCGGATGAGATGAACAGAGTTGTAGAGGTTGCTTATTACAGAAGTAACAATTCTTAAGTTGACATTTTTAAATCACAGTTCTCGTAGGAACCACTGCTCCACCTTCTGTCTGAATTGAAACAGGAGTCGCTACTGACTGCCAATCGTGAAGAAAAGCTAACAAAGACCCAACGTTAATGAAATTTGCTGTAAAAACAAGAAGCTGAATATTGATGGCTGTTGTCCTATAGTGTTATTCAAATAAAACAAATAATAAAAAAATGAAGGAAAGCGAGAAATTAATCCAGACTTTTACAATTATTTGAATGCAAATAAGATTCTAAATTAACATTTACAAAGCAAATGTACTTTAGGGATTTAACTCTCTCCCAAATCTATTAGTGTATCAATATATAAGGTGGAGAGGTGGATACTTTTGTCATTTTGATATTCTATTTATTGACAAAGAAACTAAATAGACAGAAAGCGAGACATAGGAAGGAAGGAGTGTGCAGGGATTTAGGGACATTCACATTAACCATACAGTATATTGTTGCTGGTCCAGAGGCCACATTGCTAATGACTAAAAACATTCTGACTGCATTTTGTTTTCTCGGAAGAACATCTGCTCTAAACAATAATTGGATTGTTTTACCAATAGTTGCATTCCCCTGTGTGCTAATTGGAAAACCAGCCTGTCAGAAAAATCAACTTTGGTAGACTGAACATAAACAGGTGTCGGTATCTTTTAAATAAATCTCTCTCTTTCATTTTTTTTCCTTTGGTTTTGTGTTGTTTCTGCCTTATTCACTCAAGCATGAAAACAAGCACACACGGGCACACAGAAGATCGTCATCCTCTAGACTCTGACAACCACAGCAGTAGCTTTCTTTAAGTTTTTTTATTCTTTGAATGATTAATAAATATAGATAAGTGTCAAAGCGTCTTTGAGCGAAAGAGCTTCATTTGTTTTATACAACCCTTTGCAGGATACAATTCAAATTCCCCTCAATGTAATGTACAATAAGGGTTATTGTGCAGGGCTGAAATTTGGCCGATGTAGTTGTATGTCACACACAGTTACCTAGTTTAATACCAAAAATGTATTCAATGCTGCTCAGAACTGACATTAGTAGACATTGAAGCGATGTGCACTAGCCCTCAGTGAATGTTCACGCAGATTAATAAATTCTCATAATAAATACATTGCTCTGTGGCCTCAGAACCAAAACCTGAACTGCTTGTATCTTCATTTCATCAAGAGATTCCTAAAGATCATATCTATTTTCACACCTACTATTTAATCTTAATTCCTAACTGTCAATTTAAATTCCTTCAATTGCCGCTTATAATGCACGGGTGGTGCATGTAGATTCAGCCAAATGACCTTACCTTTACTGCTTACCTTCGACCACCCTGAGAAAATGCATTTAGGATTATTGTGACTTTTTAATAAAGCGTGCAGGATGAGAATCATATCGCAATTTGACCAGCTGTAATAAACTGCAGTAATATAATGTCAGAAGGGGGGTTTAGACAAAGACTCTGTGTAGGACATGCCACCTGTCAGCTGAGATAAGATGACCGCTGAGGATATGAAATCCGTGTGACGTCCGGTGTTCAGAAGGCCACTTGGTGTCTCATGATGATCAGATGTATGTCTCAGTATAAACATGACGATCCTTGTACAATGAGATCATTCTGCTTTAAAATATTTTAAACGGAAAGAAAAAGCAAATAGTGCTTTCAACTTGGTAAAAGTCAAATGCCCAAATGACCTCAGACGCTTGAAAGCTTTTGACTGATGAGTCTCTTTGTGTCTTGCTTTTCATATGCAAAGCTTTCGCACAACAATCTCCTCCTCAAAACCATTAAACTTATATTTTGCACACAGCATGCCAGCTCTGCTTCACACTTTTAACATCTGCACTGTGCGGTTCCCCCCACCGACCTCCTCCTGTCTCATCTCTTTCTCCAGCTCAGCTGGCATCAAAGGAGGAGCGAGAGAGAGAGCGAGAGAGAGCTGGCCTAGTGCCAAGACATTTGGATAGTGATGAGTGATCCATCATGTGTTCGGCATACTAAACTAGAAGAAACAGGAATTTTAATCCTACATCTGGCCCTTGTTCAGAAGTATACTGATTCTTTCCCATTTCTATTTCCTTTGACTAACATTTTCTGAATTGAAGCAAGATGCGGCGCTATGGGCGCAAATAGACCGCAATCCCTGAGCATGCGGCTTTTGTAAACTAATCAATATGGCTATTGGCACAGGTGGAAACGTGCACAAAAGCACACACAAACCAGTTCACTGGTGGAGCTTTTTTTGTAATTGGATGTTTTTTTCAAAAGCTGAACTTGGCATCTCTATTGAGTCCAGGATTAATATATTTGGCTGATTTGTCCATTTACCAGGTTGTCAAATTCTATACAGATTCTATACAAAGTCTATTCTATTTCTAGTCTCGTTCCCGCATATGAGGTTTTGAGTTCATATAGATGAATCCACTCGCATTCCTGCCAATGTTTTCACACAATGCTCTGATCAACAGACGAGAGTGATGCGCAACTTAAACATTGTTGAAGAGAGATCTAAAATATTTATTTGAATTTGGCTTTTTAAATGTTTTATGTGGAAGAACAATGAATTTGCAGGCTGTGTTTTTTCACCATTGATGCATAAAATGTGTATTCATGGGTAACGCTGAATGCAAACCAACTTGTTTACATTCCTCGGGACCCATTTAACGAGTGTAAGCCATTGTAGCTGGAATCATTGAGTTATCCATCTGGCTCTGTTGACTGTTGTTCATTTTGCAAAAAACAGAAACCTAAGCCTAACCTGCAGGGAAATAATGAAGAGATTAGATGTCATCTCATTGTTATCTTTTAATTGGTGTACAAACTACTTACAAGTGGCTCACATGTGCCTTGTAATTAATCATCCTTCAAACTATCAGTTGGATGGAAATCAGCATCAACATGACAAATTACAATCACAATTTTTCCAAGTGGCTGAAAATGTCACACAGTTACAACCGGTTTGTGCACATTTCTTGGATTTTGAAAGCTCAAACCTGTGAGCAAGACTCAAAGGGTTTAAAATACTCAACAGAGTGCAAGCGAATCATTAAATATAAACTCTGTAAGCAAACCAGCCCCTTCTTATTCTTAAGGCATCGAATTCTGGCGCTTTGTCACACTGCTGAAAGCTCAAAGCTCGCTTCAGCGTTTGCATAAGTACCTTTTTTTTTTGAAATCCTGCTGAAAGCTGCAAAGAGTCCAAGAGTAGGGCATCACTTTTCTGTTTAATTACCAAACGGCATTTGATTTACATTTTGACATTTAAAGATGCATAGTGGTGACCTAAATTGGTTCCCGTAAGTAAAGAGTCCATCCCTTGTAATGTATGCACATCTACGGCATCGTGGATGAAGCCAGTGACGCGTTTGAATGTGGCAGGTTGGTACAAGCAGCACACAGCTCAACATGAAGGAGACTTCATCTTTGATACTGTCTGCACGGTTAGGGGTGATGGAAACGTACACAGTCTAGTTGTGTCTAGTTGCATGTTTGCATACCTGTTTTGTCGGCGTTTTTTTTTTTTACGTGTGCGTGTTTTTGCTTGTTGCGGTGATGCATGTGAGCTGCAGAGCGCGGCACCTGGCCCTCAAGTAGAAGCAGACGATTTACGATGTGGCAAATGTACCTCTGCAGTCAATAACAGCTGTTATAGGCACGTTTTTGTGTCTGACTAAGAAAGCATGAGAGAGAGAAGTGAGATTACTTAGAGTAAAATCAAATTCCGCTTTTGTTTCGCACCAGCGTAAGAGTCTTTCTCTGTCTATTGAGCGGCCTGTTTGTTTAGCAGATGTGTAGAGGAAGTGCTCCTTCAGTGAGATGAAATGAGAATACGTAAACATGCAGCTAAAACAAAGTCGGGATGAAGCAACAATCCTTTATCGTCAAAAATGAATGAGAAAGCATCAAAAACGGTTGCCTTTGACTCCACAATGTCACAACATACGACGAGAACCAGTTACGTGTGTTCCAGAGTTAGAGATGAGAAAAAAAAGATATCAAATGTGAATACTGTACCGATTAAATATAGGGTAGTATTTTTAATTCCTAAACATTGAGAGTTTTGCAATGTAGATTGTGGTAATAAAACAACTAGAAATGATTTTAAGTCATACATTAGATATTTTCTGAATTATTCATGCATATGATTTTGTATTTAGCATTCATCCTCGCCCTTGCAAATGATTTGATGGGCTTTGACTCTATTCCTAGCTATGAACTTGTTTTCAGGACTGCATTTCTGAAGGAGCTTTTTTCCAGCTTTACAGATACAAAGTGGGCGGAGCTACAAAGAGAAAGCATATTAAATGTTAAGTCCACTATACGTGTTTTGTGAAAGAGAAAATAAAAAGGTGATGAAGAATATATATTAATCATTAATTCCATGCATTATTAGTGACTTTCAGTGTGTTGTGTGTTGAATACAGATGGCTCTGTGCGTGTTTTGTAGAGAAAACACGGGAAAGGTTGCTTTTAAAAGTACGTTCGACCTGTGATCTCATCCATATATGATCCGAAACAACCAGAACAAGTCTGCAAAGATTCACTGTATTTAAATACCAATGTTCCTCAAACTTTTTTCTACCCTTTCTTTTGAACCTTGTCACCTCATTTCACCATTTGCTCCTCACTCAGCAGATGACGTCGATGTCACCGCACCTGAACTCCCTCACCTCTTTCCCTCAGCTCCTCTCTGCCCTTTTTTTAGTATCCCCGAGTTTTCGCCTCCTTTCCTAATACAATTTCCCCACTAGCATTCCCGAGTGACCCTTCTTCTCAGGACGCTGACCCATGTGTCGCCCCCCACACCTCCCAGTATGACGTCTTTATCATTCTCCCCTATCCC